AGGGATCCCCCTCCCCCCACCTCCCACCAGGGATCCCCCTCCCCCCACCAGGGATTCCCCCTGCTTCCTCCCACCAGGGATCTCCCCACCCCTCTCCCAGCCGGATCCCCCACCTGGGCTCGACTGCAGCTCCCTGTCACACAGCTGGCTCGTGCACTGCTTCCTCAGGTTTGGCTCTGCTGCCCCCCCCCCCCCATGGTGTGGGGGATCCACATGGAGTGAGCTGTGGTGTGACCTGGCACATGGGTGCGCAGGGGGGAAGGGTACCTTGCCACTTGCTCAGTTTCGGCCTCATGCACCCCCACCCCACTGGAAATGAGAAGCAGGCCTGGGACAAACCTCAGTGAGCACTGGGGCAACAAGCCCTGCTCCTCCCTCTGCCATGGGGCAGGTCCACACACACACAGTGGGCCCTGGACATATGCTTAGGTTGCCTCTGCCTTAATAGAGCCCTCATTGCATTTCATCTGTGCAGGGCTGCAGGCATGGGATTCAGTCACTGTTGTGTGTACAAAGATCAGGAATAAAGAAAGGGAATAAAGAAAAGTTATTTACTTGCTCCCTTAACATAAGAACTAGGAGTCACTACTATTAGGCAGCAGGTTTAAAACAAACTAAAGGTAGTATTTCATACAGTGTACAGCCAACCTGTGGAACTCCTTGCCAAAGGATGTGGTGAAGGCCAGGACTTTAATAGGGTTAAAAAAAAAACCTAGATAAATTCATTGAGGTTAGGTCCATCAATGGCTATTAGCCAGGATGGGTAAGGAATGGTGTCCCCAGCCTCTGTTTGTCAGAGGGTGGAGATGGTTGGCAGGAGAGAGATCGCTTGATCATTACCTGTCCGGTTCACTCCCTCTGGGGCATCTGGCACTGGCCACTGTTGGCAGACAGGATACTGGGCTGGATGGATCTTTGGTCTGACCCAGTGTGGCCATTCTGCTGTTACACCCTCCCCTGTGCAGTGCTAGGCAGGGAGAGTCACTGAGGGGATGTCTAGACTACATGGTCCGTCGACGGTGCTCTCCCCACTGGGCTTCCTCTAACCTAGGGGCAGCGTCTCTCCCATGGTGTGTTCTGCTCTCCCCGGTCTCGCCCCCTTCCCATCAGTGATGGGAACAGGCCTCATTTTGTGTGTGACCCCCTCCCTCAAGAAGGAATGGCCCAGACCCAGCCCAGTTCCTAGCTGCGAGCTGCTGAGACCTTTGGAGCATTCTCCTGATGAAACAGGCCCGATGCAGAAGACAAGAAATGGTTTCCTACAATGCCTGGCCTCTCTGTTCTCCTTAAGGCCTGGAGAAATGATAGTTCTCCCCACCCCACAGGGACAGACCTTCCTCCCCCTCTCCTTTCCCCTCTCTCTCCCCTTCCCTCTTCTTGTGTGTCTACCTTCTTGGAGAGGAATCTGTTCTCTCCTCATCAGCCATGGAGCTGCCACACTGGCCACAGACACAGAGTTTTTTCAGGCCAGATAGGAGCTTCCAGGAGCCTCCGGTTTTCTTGGGCTCCTCTGGCAAGGCCTGCTCCTCCTGGCTGAGGCCGGAGCATGCCTCGGCTGCTGCAGGTTGGACCACCACCCTGAGCACCTGGCTGTGTCTGTGCTCCCTTGAGGTGAGTCTTCGCAAGAGGGAACAGAGCCTGGAATAAAAAGGAGCCAGTGGGGTTTTTTTTTCCATCTAGAAAGGCAGGGAATTAGTCTGCCCAGGAGCCACACACAAGAGCGGTCTCCTGAACCCATCCGCTCCCGTAAGAGCCAGAGCTCGTCCATAGAACCCAGCCAAAGGTGAAGACACATGGGCTGCATCTAGACTGGCAAGTTCTTCCGCAAAAGCAAACGCCTTTGCGGAAAAACTTACCAGCTGTCTACACTGGCCGCTTGAATTTGCGCAAAAGCACTGACTTCCTCCTGTCTGAGATCAGTGCTTCTTGCGCAAATACTATGCTGCTCCCGTTCGGGCAAAAGCCCTTTTCCGGAAATGCTTTTGCACAAAAGGGCCAGTGTAGACAGCTGAAAACTGTTTTGCGCAAAAAAGCCCCGATGGCGAAAATGGCGATCGGGGCTTTCTTGCGCAAAACCGCGTCTAGATTGGCACGGACGCTTTTCAGCAAAGAGTGCTTTTGCGGAAAAGCGTCCATGCCAATCTAAACGCTCTTTTCCGCAAATGCTTTTAACAGAAAAACTTTTCTGTTAAAAGCATTTGCGGAAAATCATGCCAGTCTAGACGTAGCCATGGAGTCATGGGTGACAGGAATTATTGTGGGGAATTTCTCGGGCCTGTGTTGTGCAGGAGGCAGGGCCGGAGGGAGGCATGGGCGAGCCGGGCAGCTGCCCAGGGCGCCAATCCACGGGGGGGTGCCTGATGGCAGTTGTAAGAGGCACGCAGTGTCCCTTACAGCTGCCATCAGGAGCCGCGCGCCCGGCTCCCACAGCACCGGCCCCGCGGCGCCGGAAAGCAGCTCCCTTGCCCCCACAGCTGCGGGGCCCTGCACGGTCCGGCACGTGCGCCAGCAGCACTGGCCAGGCCCGGCTATGCGCCATGCGCCTCAGGGGGCGGGCCCCAGGCTGCACGCCAGTGGCCGTGACCGGCCCGCGCATGCGCTGAGTGTCCCAGGGGCGGGCCCCCAAAGGGCTCGGGCCGGCCCTGGCAGGAGGTCAAACTCAGTGAGCAGGGCTGTCCCTTCTGGCCTTCCGGCCTGGGACTCTAGGAGCTGATGATCCTAAAGTTGGCGCGAGGTGCTGGCGTGAAGGTTATTGTCCATACAATAGGAGAGGCTTTGTCTGAGGTTTCCTTGGGGAGAGGCACCAGGATCCCTGTTCCCCCTTTGTCACGGCAGCCCAGGAGGGAGCATGTGCTAGGTTCTCCCTCCTGCTCTATAACAGGAAACCTCCATCCACCGTGGATGTAATTCCTTCACTCCGAGCACAGGTACTGGTTACATTGCCAAGCGGCAGGGAGCGTTCAGTTGGGCTGCTTGCAAAAATGGACTGTTTGGAGGGTCTGTGAAATTTGAATAGATCGAAAAGGATGGAAACCACTGGTCTAGAAGGATGGTTTAGCAGTGGAGAAGATGTTTAATTGCTCTCAACTTTTTCAAAATCTGGAATTTATAGGCATGGGGCTAAGAACCAGTAACATTTCAATGAAGAATTGCACATGCTCTCTCGATGAGACTGGCAGTGGAGATGTAGCACTTGCACTATCAGAAGATTTATTTCTGGTGCACGATTTGGTCTCATTTATGTGTATTTTAGATATTGTCTCCGTACACAGACATGTATATTTACATTCCCACCTTGAAGGCAAGGAATAGATTCGGGGCACCTCCAAGGGAAACAATTGTTATGGAGACCTAAACCCAAATTCTACTCAAGTTTTGTGATGATCCCTTCAGGTAAGAAACATGGAAATTCGCCCCCACGAGTCAGCAGTGAGAGAAAATCATCCCCATCTGCCTCAGGAGTGCGGGAAAGGCTGAAGCAGGAGGAGAGGGGAAGATGCTCTGAGTCAAATCAAAACGGAGTGTTGGGAAGCGCCTGTTGCAGCCCCAGCCCCCACCCGTCCCTAGGCCGAGGAGGCACCAATCTCTGCGGTGGGCTGGGAAAGGCTCCGGGAATTACCTTCTGTACAGACTCATCCTCTCTCTAGCGCCCGCGGGGACAGCGGCTGCCCGAGGTTCTTGACAGAGGCTCAGTTCTCGTCTCTCGGATCCTTGGGCGCCGGCCGTTGCCAGCCAGTTGGACTGGAGGCAGGACAAGAACGCTGCAGCCACAGTCTTTGTTATTGTCACACATGACATCACAATACACTCATCCAGAGACCTAAAGACACACACACACACACACACACGCTCATTCAATTAATAAGACTGAGCGACTTGTTCAAAATCTCTAGGAATTTTGATCTGTGGGTGGGCATGGACAGAGGACTGACCCTTTCACAGACTATATCGCATTGTACCTGGTGAATCACAAAGTTTACAAATGTCATAGACTCACGGAACACTAGAACTGGAAGGGCCCTTGAGAGGTCCTCGAGTCCGGTCCCCTGCCCTCACAGCAGGGCCAAGCACTGTCTAGATCATCCCTGAGAGATGTCTATTCAACCCGCTCTTAAATAGCTTCTGTGATGGAGATTCCACAACCTCCCTAGGCAATTTATTCCAGTGTTGAACCACCCTGACAATTAGGAAGTTTTTCCTAATGTCCAACCTAAACCTCCCTTGCTGCAGTTAAAGCCCATTGCTTCTTGTCCTATCCTCAGAGGCCAAGGAGAACAATTTTTCTGCCTCCTCCTTGTGACACCCTTTTAGATACCTGAAAACTGCTATCATGTCCCCTCTCGGTCTTTTTACTAAAGAAGCCCAATTCCTTCAGTCTTCCTTCATAGCTCATGTTTTCTAGACATTTAATCATTTTTGTTGCTCTTCTCTAGACCTTCTCCAATTTCTCCACACCTTTCTTGAAAAGTAATGCCCAAAACTGAACACAGTATTCCAGTTGAGGCCTAAACAGTGCAGAGTCGAGCGGAAGAATGACTTCTCGTGTCTTGCTCCCAACACTCCTGTTAATGCAGCCCAGAATCATGTTTGCTTTTTTTTTTTTTTTTGCAACAGTGTCACACTGTTGACTCATATTTAGCTTGTGGTGCAGGATGACTTTGTTGAGGGGTGAGGTTGGGGAGTGTCTTATCCCGGGCTGCCCCTCAATTTTAGCCCTTTTAAGAGTGGGGCTCAGCCTTCTCCCAAGGCTGCTCACACACCCCCTTCACCCAGTGCTAACTCAGCATCCCTATACCAGTCTGTTAGTGACAATGTAGCTCTGAGGCCTAGTACCTGGGTGGGTCCCCTCTGTTAGAGACAATACATCCCCAAGGCCTAGTCCAGAAATAAGTCCCCTCTATTAGTGCCAATACGGCCAAGAGGCCCAGTCCAAAAGTCAGTCCCTTCTATTAGAGACAATACGACTCTGAGGCGTTGGCCCGAAGTCAGTCCCTTCTATTACGACAATACAGCCTGGAGCCCTGGTCCTTCTCTTAGAGGCAATATGGCCCAGAGGCCTAGTCTAGAGGTAAGTCCCCTCTATTAGAGACAATATGGTTCAGCGGCCTTATTTAGAGGTAGGACCCTCCTATTAGAGGCATTACAGCCCAGAGGCCTAGTCCCGAGAGAAGTCCCTCCTATTAGAGGCAATACGGCCCAGAGGTCTAGACCTGAGATATACCTCCAAATTTCTATGGCACTGGCTTGTTGTGGAGGGGTACGGGACCCGGGCCCTCCCGCTCCACTGGGTCCCAGCCCAGGGCCCTGTTGGTGGTGGTGCAACCCAATGCCTGCTCCGCGGGATGCCTACTGCAACACGCTGAGCACCCGGAGGACAATCCCCCATCCTGGGTTGCTGCACTTTCCTTGTGTTGCTTAGGGGTAGCGTCCTTTCCAGCGGCCTCCCTGGCTGCAGCTGCTGCTGGAGGTTCCAGCTGGCTCCACCCCCCTGGGTCTGGCACTCCCTCCCTGCTGCCTCCCCCTTCTGCAGTCAGCCCTGACCAAGTGGCTCCAGAGGCTTTTATACTCAGTTTCCCCTGGGAGCATGCCCAGTAGAGCTGTGGCAATGTGGCCCTTTTAGCCAGCAGGGCCAGGGCAACTCCCTGGTTCTCAGTGCGGGGTTGATACACCCCGGCACAGACCCCTCGATCCCTTTGTGCTGTGTCCTTCCTAGACGGTCGCTTCCCATTCTGTATGCATGAAACTGATTGTTCCATCCTAAGTGGAGCATTTTGCATTTGTCTTTATTAAACTTCATCCTGTTTACCTCAGACCATTTCTCCAGTTTGTCCAGGTCATTTTGAATTATGACCCTGTCCTGCAAAGCACTTGCAACCCCTCCCAGCTTGGTATCATCTGCAAACTTGATAAGAGTCCTCTCTATGCCGATATCTAAATTGTTGATGAAGATATTGAACAGAACCAGTCCCAGAAACAGACCCCTGCAGAACCCCACTTGTTATGTCCTTCCAGCATGACTGTGAACCATGAATAACTACTCTCTGAGAATGATTATCCAACCAGTTGCATTTCCCTGATTGTTTTATAAGGTCACGCAAGACCGTATCAAATGCTTCACTGAAGTCTAGGTATACCATGTCCACTGCTTCTCCCTGATCCACAAGACTTATTATCTTATCAGAGAAAACTGTCAGATTGGTTTGACATGATTTGTTCTTTACAAATCCATGCTGGCTCTTTCCTATCACCTTATTATCTTCCAGATGTTTGCAGATGAATTCCTTAATTTTTTGCTCCATTATCTTCCCTGGCACAGAAGTTAAACTGACTGGTCTGTAGTTTCCTAGGTTGTTCTTATTTCTCTTTTTATAGATAGGCCCTAGATTTGCCCTTTTCCAGTCTTCTGGAATCTCTCCCAACTTCCATGACTTTTCAAAGATGATAGCTAAAGGCTCAGATACCTCCTCTATTAGCTCCTTGAGAATTCTAAGATGCATTTCATCAGGTCCTAGTGACTTGCAGACATCTAACTTTTCTAAGTAATTTTTAATTTGTTCTGTTTTTTTTTATTTTAACTTCTAAACCTACCCCATCGCCAGTACCACTCACTATGTTATGCATCCTGTCACCATTCATCTTCTTGACGAAAACCGAAACAAAGAAGTCATTAAGCACTTCTGCCATATTCAAGTTTTCTGTTGTTGTTTCTCCCTCTTCACTCATCAATTGGCCTACCCTGTCCTTTGTCTTCCTGTTGCTTCTAATACATTTGTAAAATGTCTTCTTGCTACCCTTTATGTCTCTAGTTAGATTGATATCTTTTTGTGCCTTTGCCTTTTTAATCTCGCCCCTGCATATCTGTGTTGTTTGCTTATATTCATCCTTTGTAATTTGACCTAGTTTCCACTTTTATATGACTCCTGCTTAATGGAGAGGCATGATTGGTTAGATCATTCTATTACAATTCTGTTAGCCAAATTTTTAGTAAAATAATTGGTCAAGGTTGAGCTAAGCAGGACTCAAGTTTCACTGTGTAAACTGGGGTCCAAAAGGAATTTTTTTGGGAACCAACTTCAGGATGCAGCTCCAAGATCAGAGCTGCCAGACCTCCAATCTGTGTATTGGTATTTTGGAGTTACAGTAAAAAAAAAAAGTTATTTTTCTTTAACAAAATTCTTGAAAATTCTATCAAATGACAGCTCTTCTACTCCTCACAGACACAATAAATCAATCTCTAAACGCTCTCCTGTTGACTCCAGCACTCCACCAGCGTAAGAAGAGTAGGCAGAGTCGACGGGAGAGCAGTACCTGCCAACCTTACCACTCAGAAGAGGCTGTGGTAAGTACATAGACATCAGTGACATTATTATTATTTGTATAGCTGAACTCATGTTGCTTAGATCAACAGCAGGGGTTAGTGTAGACAAAGGCTCAGAGGCTAAAGCTAAGGGCTCGTTTAGACTTAGGGTTGCCAGATGGTTTAACAAAAAACACTGAACTCCCCCCCCCCCCCCCAAAAAAATACTGGGAAAAAATTCTGTTGAGAAAAAAAAGGGGGGAGACCAAAGATGTCGAGCAATAAAAAAAAAGGGGGTGTTGTGCCTTTAAATGGTCCCGCGCTCTTCACTCACTCCCGCCAGACGCGGCAGAGGAAAATTGTCCTCGCCGGGCTTCCGTCCAAGGGAAACAGGAAATACCGGACATTTCACATGTCTGGTATTTTTTTTTACCGGACGGAGGACCTGAATAACAGACAGTCCGGGCGAAAACCAGACACCTGGCAACCTTACTTAAACTGCAGAGCTGAACCATGATGTCACTGGTTACAAGACAACCAAGCCTTCTGATTCAGTTTTTGCTGTAACGCAGGTGGGCCTCGCAACAGCAAGATAACAAGACGACACACAAATTAACATAATTAACACAGGACAAAACCTCACTAGGAAAACATTTAATGAAATAAAAAGGGATAAATGCAATAGGTGGAAATGAAACTTACAAACAAGGTAATCCAGCCATTATAACCTTCCTCGTGGCGAGCCCAGCAGCTCCTGGAGAAAACAGCCGAGAGGCCTTGAGGGAAATTTGACCAGCCAGACCACACATGGGTCACTGAACACAAGCAGGAAGAAGATGCTACCTTTCTTGCCAGCAGCTCTTACGGTTAGGTCAACCCACTCTGTGTACCGTTTCCAGGGACTGCTGTGGGAGAACAGGGACTATATCAGACATTAAATTTGAGATACTCGGCCAGGCGAGGGTCCTTGCACAATTTCTCGTCCAGTTCCATGTATTTCTGTGGTGCCATCTCTTTGTGTCTAAAGAAGGGAACCAGAAGCTGATGAGATTAAGTGGAATATTTTCAGATGATGAAATTATCAAACAATTGACAGGCAAAGCCCCCGTGAATATCTACTTGCAGAGCTCCCTTAAATCACTCCAGTAGGACTGACACACATTCCTTTAACACAGGCGTGGGCAATAACTTTTGATGGGGAGCCACTCCAAGATTGCGGAAAGTGGTCTTTTCCATGATATGAATGGAGGAGATGCGGGGTCTGGGATGGAGGTTGGGTGCAGAAGGGAGCCCGGGGTAAGGGATTGGGGTGCAGGAGGGAGACAGGAGTCTGGGAGGGAGTTGGGATGAAGCAGGCTGTTGTGACCTAGGGCAGGGGACTGGAGTGCAGGGGCTTGGGATGTGACCTAAGGTAGGAGGGGATTGTGATCTAAGGCAGGAGTTTGGGTATGTTGCGTGGGGAGGCAGATAATTGGGGCAGGAAAGGGCTGAGGTGCCAGAAGCAGGCTGTGGCCAAGAGACTTTACTTGTCAGCTGCCAAATTAGCCTGTCTGCCTGCAGAGCTTAAAATGTTTCCCAGCTGGCCAGCCTGCTGGCCATGTGCTTCGTGAATAACTGAGCAAGGAGAAGGGGTGTGATTTGTGTTAGCTGCCTGTTATTCTAACAAGCAGCTCCCATTGGCTGGTTTCTGGGAATGGGAATGTGCTGGGGGCAGGGCAGCTCCTAAAACTTCTCCCTTCACCTCCAGTTTTAAAACAGAAACGGAACCCTGCAGCCACGTTTCTGCAGGGGCTGCGGGGCAAGCAGAGGAGCCTGTCTGGGGCTCCCCGCTGCCTCTGTGGGCCCGGCCCCGTCATGGGCTATATTTTGCCCAGGCCTGATTTAACACCTGTTAAGCCGTATTTCCAGAATGTGAATCCGGAACATGGCATCAGAGCAGTAGGTTAGGTAGGCATCCTCGTCCTCCAAGGTCATAGAGAGCTGGTTTTGCTGGTACCACTGTTGTTTCTTTTGTAACTCCTGTGTCTCCTGATGGGAAGAAGGTACAAATCAGTCTCAGAGATAGATAGATAGATAGATAGGTAGATAGATAGATGGGTGTATAGGGATAGATAGCTAGATAGCTAGATAGATAGATAGATGGGTGTATGGGGATAGATAGATAGAAGGTATGTGTGGGGATAGATAGGTAGATAGATAGATAGAGGGGGTGTATGGGGATAGACAGATAGATTAAATTAGATAGAGATCAAGAACGTAGCATATCAAGGCCAAAAGAAGGAAAAAAGAGCGTAGTAGAAAAAGAAATATACTAAATTGGAAGCAAAGAATGGGATGAGGACATGGAGAACACAAAACAAACTAGGAAAAAGAAAGGAAGAAGAGAGAAATGTGTAGAGCGCCGCCTCCTTGAGGATAAGACATTGGGGGTCAAATTCTGTTCTGCTATGAGCTAGTACAAATCCATTGAATTTGCTCCGAGGGCTATTCTGCCCTATGTTGTCCTTGGGCAAAGACAGAGCAACACGAGGGCATGTATGCAGCCTCCCTGGACTAAGATGTTGGCAGAGTGCTGCTTTTTCACCTGCTGTAAAATGGAGGGAGAGCCCCATGTGGTCCCCTCCCGGAGCAAAGGCGCCCCGATGCACTGCTGGAGCCAAGGAGTGGACCATGCGAAAGGGGGCGTGACCTTCTCAAAGCGAGCCTGGATGAAGTTGGCCTTCTCAATGAGCCGGTGCTTGAAATCAGTCAGGCAGTCTTCCTTGAGGCGGAGGGCTTGCCACTTGGTCATCTTCTCTGTGCTGCCCATTTGAATCAGGAAGGGTGCCAGGTAATCTAGGTCCTGCTCCACTTGTCTCTGTCTCTCTTCTTGCATCAGACGCTCCTGGAGGGGAAGGGAGAGAAGAACAAGTGCCCCAAACATCCCTGTGTAGGGCTCTAGCATCGCAACATGCAGTGTTGCTGTCTTCTCCCCTCCTTCCTTCCCTCCCTCCCTCCCTCCCTCGTTCCCCCCTGCTCTGGGACATAACTACTCTCCGAGGTCTGACCAGACCGCTTGCTTTTCACCAGCTGTTTCTTATACCACCCGTTTCCCAGCAGAACTCCCAACCTGATTCTTATTCTGTTACCTAGTTTTTGGCTGTGGCTTTCAACAACTCACCCATTCCCCTAGAACACTGAGCTTGTCCCAGACATGAAATGTCATCTCTGGCGTGGGAAGGGCCCCTCAAAGTACACTGCCCTCTAGGGTTGAAGTGGTTCAGAGTGGAGGGTTGTGTTGCATTTGAAACCTTTCTCAGTGATGTCCGCCTAGTTGACAAATATTTGCTTCTGGATAGCTCTCAATTTGTTCTTCAGTCCATAGGTACCTGACACAAAATCTTGTGTCTCTTTTGGTTACCTTTCTCATCGGGGTGCATAAGAACAGAACATAAGAACAGCCATAGGTCCAGCTAGCCCAATATGCTGTCTGCTGACAGTGGCCAATACAAGATGCCCCAGAGGGAGGGAACACAATAGGTAATCCTCATGTGATCCCTCCCCTGTCACCCACCTCCAGAGAAACAGAGGCTAGGGACACCATTCCTACCCATCCTGGCTAATAGCCATTGATGGACCTAACCTCCATGAATCTATCTAGCTCTTTTTTGAACCCAGTTAAAGTTCTAGCCTTCACCGCATCCTCTGGCAAGGAGTTCCACAAGTTGACTGTGTGCTGAGTGAAGAAAAAGTATTGTTCCTGGAATTTATTATTGTGCCCAGAACACAATCCACACAAAATAAACATCTTGCCGACAAGTGGAATTTGAAAACAAGCCCCATAACAACCTGTGATAGCTAGACTGGAATTTTGTCCAGAAAATACACATGGCATGAATTCCTCAAGAGATACCCTGGGCTAGAATCAATACTGATGTTATAAATGCCAAACTGTCAAACCATCTATTCCAAATCTGGTACTCAGGGAACAAGTTGATATTTCCCTAACAAAATGAACCTTGGCTATGGAGCTGGTTTGGAATTAGCAAACTCCTCACTTAGCTCCAACTACAATTAGTTTCATTATTATGAATGATTTTATGTATTGTATTAAACTCAATCTGGGTGTGATTTTGTTGATGACATGGTTCTTCCAGAAAGTCATAGGCAAAGGAGCCAGATCTTCAACTAATACAAATTGTAGCTTCGTGGAAGTCAACAGAGGTATGCCGATTCCCACCAGCCCAGGATCTCAGCCAGGGAGTTTTAATGGCACTAGAATGGTCTCTAGGGATAGTTCCTCAGAAGGGAAGAATTTGAGCTGGGATTTCTTTGACCTCCAGTAATGAACTCTGAATCCAATCCTAAAAAACCTTATCTGGATTCTTGCTGATCCACTTAAAGACACTAGGCTTATCTCAGGGTATGTCTACACTACCCTCCTAGTTCGAACTAGGAGGGTAGTGTAGACATACCCCCAGGAAGGCACCCCTGCAATCAACTTGGGGGCCAACTCTGTCCACACAACTATACAAGCAACATCATTACAGCACTTAACCTAAGCCACCACATCAGAGGCTCATACAACTGCACACCCACTAATTCGATCTATGCCATCAAGTGCCAGCAATGCCCCTCTGCCATATATATTTGCCAAACTATACAGTCTCTATGACAAAGGATTAATGGATACAAGTCAGATATCTGAAATGGTAACACACAGAAACCTGCTGGAAAACATTTTAACTTGCCTGGGCACTCACTAATGGATATGCAGACCATCCTGCCTGAATTTTCTGGGCTAGTCCAATTTTTAATGTCCTGCCCCAGTGCCCCATCTCAGAAAGTCCCCAAGCTCCAAATGCAGCTAGAAGTTGCTGTGCAGCTGATTCTCTTCCCCTTCCTCCAGCTGGGGGAATAGCTACTAAACCCCACCTTTAGTACAAGAGATAGAAATTGGGATCAAAAGTTATGGTTGTTATTAGACACTGCTGCCTACCATCGTCTCTCGATGTTGTTTGCTCTTTTCATTCCTTTCTGTATCATACATAGAAACCGTCAGCTTGTTGGTAGCTGCTTCTTCCTCCCGGATCTTGAGAATTTCTAACACCTTCAGTGAAATCAGAAAAGCAAAGATCTCGTGACATTTCCTCAAAGCATGAAGCCCTCCTCTTGACTGTCTGCTTCAAAGAACATATGCCTGGTCAGTATGCAAAGACGGTGGCACTGCATGACGGTGTAAGCTTGTATCCATTTTCGCTAGGGAGCGGCATGTATCTGTTCATGGGCTGAGGATATATTGGCCAAAAGAGCAGCATTTTTAAAGAGTACTAATAAGAACTTTATTTCTGTTGCCTCATTGACTATGTCTAGACAGCAGTACTTTTCTGGTATCCTGGAAAAGCAATGCTGCGTCCAAGGAATGCGTCCGCTTTTCCAATTTTTTTTTTTGAAAAGTGGACGCTCTCTTTCGCCATCCCTGTAAACCTCGTTTGACAAGGAAGAAGGGATGGCTCGAAAGAGCAGGTTTGTCTGAAATCTGGTGCCGTGTAGACGCGCCAAATTTCGGAAAAGCCTCTTCTGGCAGAAACGCGGAAAAAGATCCGTAAATTTCTGTTTCCGACATTACTTTGTCATCTAGGCGTAGCCATACTCTTTGATGGAATTACCAAAAGTATTCCTCGTTACGGAGCCTAAACGTAAACAATGTGAACAATGGGGTTATAGTTCCATTGAGCTATTGTGATGACTATGAACCTCCGGAGCGAAAGATGGGTGTCCCCAAAGCCCATTGATGGAATTACAGATCCATAAATCTTACCCGAGTATTTTGTGACCCTCTACTTTGCCATCAGACTGGCACCACAGTCCTTTTCATTACCTAACCAACTGCTATAGGGATTTCGTCAAAGTAGTTTTCTCACGTTCCGATCCAGCGGTCTTCTCTTCAAAGCTGCAATAGCTCTGCTCGGTCAGTCCCTCGCAACCAGTGCCATGGAAGTGGGGTTTGGTGCATGCAGTTGCAATGGGTTACCGATTGCAATCCATCTCTTTTAAGGTAATTTGTCCTTTACTACAGAGGTAAGCACCTAGATGCTATGGCCTTGGCTACCTTAGAAGTGCTTAGTTAGCAATTAGATTGTAATCTCTTGGGCATCCTCTTCTTTCCTGCTCTGGTCAGCAGGCAAATGGCAGATGTGCTGCTAGCTATCCCACTACGGACCCTCTCTGTTGCAGCCCTTTTATGCCCTGTCCCTAGAAAGTGGAAGGAGAGCCGAGGAGGAGTCTTCACAAAAATCCCAAAGACTGATTTCCACCGAACAAAGGCAAGCCATGGTTTGTATATTCTGGGCTGGGGACCAGCACCGTGTCATCGGAACTGATCACTGAGATACTGGATAATATTGGACCACATGACATGATGTGAAGAGATGGTTAGTTGCACCTAGTTCTAACGTCTAACATACGTTGGTGTTAGCAAGGAGATTTCCCCCATCACCTCTGTTTCAGACTCCCAGACTTGATGCCTCAGGTGCTTTTCTGCATCCATTAGCTTCAGCATCATTTCATAGAGATGCAGCAGCTTCTTGTTCTTCTGAAAAGACCCCACCTAAAGACAAAAGCACCAGTGTTGGATGCAGAGTCTTCTAGACACATGGAACCAGATCGTCATAAGAACATAAGAATGGCCAGACTGGGTCAAACTAAAGGTCCCCCTAGCCCAGTGTCCTCTCTGCCGACAGTGGCCAATGCCAGATATCCCAGAGGGAGTGAACACAACAGGGAATCATCAAGTGATCCCTCCCCTGTCATCCATTCCCAGACTCTGACAAACAGAGGCCAGGGACACCATTCCTGCCCATTCTGGCTGATTAATATTGATGGACCTAACTCCATGAATCTATCTAGTTCTTTTTTGAACCCTGTTAAGTCCTGGTCTTCACGATATCCTCTGGCAAGGAGTTCCACAGGTTGGCTGTGTGCTGCATGAAGAAAAACTTCCTTTGTTTGTTTTAAACCTGCTGCCTATTACTTTCATTCGGTGACCCCTAGTTCTTACATTGTGGAAATAAGTAAATAACTTTTCCGTATTCTCTTTTTCCACACCAGTCATGATTTGACAAACCTCTATCATATCCCCCCTTCGTCTCCTCTTTTCCACCCTGAAAAGCCCCAGTCTCTTTAATGTCTCTTCATATGGGACCCGTTCCAAGCCCCTAATCATTTTTGTTGCCCTTTTCTGAAGTTTTTCCAATGCCAAGCTAGCTTTTTTGAGATGAGGCAACTGCATCTGCACGCAGTATTCAGGATGTGGGCATACCATGGTTTTATATAGAGGCAGTAAGATATTCTCGGTCTTATTCTCGATCCCTTTTTTATCTTCAGTTGGTTAGTAACTGACACATTTCCACTGACTTCAATAGAGCTACGCTGATTTACACCATCTGAGAATCTGGCGCATGGTTAATAGTTAATTTAGCTCTGTCTAGGGTTTGAATCTAACACTTCACTGTGGCTGGCAGTATATTGTTCCTCTCTTTGTTGCTGCTGTGTGGCTAGAATCAGTTTTCCGCCCACTTGAGGTCACAGGACAGCAGCCCCGGGGCAGCAGTTTGCACGCTCTTTGCAAAGCGACAAAAATGACAGACTTTTTCAAAAGCATCCAGATTGTAGGAAAAAAATACATCACCTGGGCAAACTAATGGATGGAGAGTTTAGGACAAATGGTAACAACACACAGCAAATCCATCATAGAAATGGAGATAGAACCCATGGAATTTTGACTTCTTGTGCCCTTAATTGCTCCCCCAAGAGAGAAATGCCGAAAAGAGGTTTCATCTTTCCCTTCCTAAAGTGCCAGCTTGGATCCTCAGAACCATGGAAATTGTCTTCTCAAATTCTGAGTCAGACTTCCAGCTTCTCTTTGTGCCTTTTGGGACTGGAAACCTCCAATTCATTGGCATACCTGGTAGCTGATGCACATATCGGAGGTCATGATGATCTTGTTTCCTTTATTATCTTCCTCCTTTTGTTTGATGAACTCCTTCTTCGAGGCCGTGATGTAACTGTCCTTGCAATGATACGTCAGCATAATCCGCTCCTCCGAGATCATAAAGATGCGCTCTGCTACATCGTCATCAGCTGGCTTTTGGGTGTTTCTACGGAACTGCTCCTTGATTTGCTGGGGGTGGTGGTGGGAAGAAGAGATGCAAACAGGTCAGAAGTGAACAGATGGCCTAGAAAAATGACAAGATCGGGGAGGTTTGAATGGACCAGGCGGGAAACAGACACCCCAGGAGAAAACTGAGCCCTACTCCAAATCCAAGCTCTAAATAAGACGATAACGGCTTTGCTCAGACTCGGAACTACGATGCCCTCCCACCTGTGACTGCAGTGTAGCAGAGAAGGAGCAGAGCCAGCGCTGCTTGGGGTTGCTGCTTACAGGAGCAGATTCCACCCTTCAGGTACAAGAGCAGAGCTGGACCATGTGTAAGGGGACTGTTACCCCTTACTAAAACTCTGTGGGAGTTTTTTGGTTTGCCAGCTCCCAGTTTCAGAAGGGACATGAGTCTGACAGACCCCAGAGACAATGGAAAGCAGCCAACACTCCAGCTCAGCCTGATTGACAGGTTGGACAGGCCAGTGAGGAAGGGGAGAGGCCAGGCCCCGTCCTCCCTGTGACCTGGGATTGTTCTGGCTCTCTCTGAGCAAACAGAGAGCTGAGACGCAGCCCAAGGAGTGCAAGCTGTGTGCTGAGGGGCAGTTTTTGCAGCAGCTGAGCCAGACACACACAGCTCAAGGAGCGCCGACCCTGTGTTGAGCAGCAGACTGGCAGTGCTCAGAGAGCCAAAAGGAACAGAGAAGCAATGCAAGAAGCTAGAGACTGGCCAAGCAGCTCAGCCTGCAGCTGGATGTGGTGAGCAGCGGGGAACTGCAAAGTGTGGGGAGAGGCTCTGGACTGGGAGAGGGGTCTGGCCACTTGGAGCTTGAGGCTGTGTGGTCACTGCCAGAGCAAGCGTGTCCAGCCTGCAGCCCCACCCCCCCCTGCAGCACATCCAAGGCCTCTAAGGAAGAGACTGTGGACTGTCCTTACACTCTGCAGGCTGCTGTTTTGATGTCCCTGTGCTACAGAGCAGGGCTGTGTGTTCTCATTTAACCTTTCTCAGTTTTTCTTATTCTTTTCTCTTTAATCAGTTGATGTTTAATAAATTGTATTTGCTTTGAACCTTATGAAGTGATCACTGGGCCAAGAAGGCCTGCAGTGTAAAGAGAGCACCTCGGAGTGGGGACACCCTAACTCCTGCCCCTAGTGACTACAAGGTCGGGGATTAAGCCCCAGGAAACCTGGGCCCAGCCTTGTTGGGGTTTCAAGGGCTCTGCTACTCAGGAGGGTGGAGGGGGAGCCCTCAGGAACAGGGGAGCCGTGGGGTAAAGGAAGTGGGAGCGGGGACTCAGATCCTTTCGCTGGTTCATTTCACCGGGGTGGTATAAAAGCCAGGAAAGTTCCCCACAATAGCGGGATCATTCCCCCGCTTACACATGCGCTCCATGTGGCATTATACCTCGGAGAAGCACAGTTCCTCCAGGAATTCCCTGCACACAGGGGGGAAAGGATGCAACCTTCCCCTTTGAACACCAGTGTAAGCACCAGACGCCTTGCATAGCGTCAGGAAAGGGTCATTCTTATGCAGGGGTGGGCAAAAGGGCCTCTGTGGGTCGGATCCAGCCCGCCAAGTCCCTAAGACCAATTAGGGCCTGTGGTGCTTTGAAGTGCCGCAGGGTGGGAGCAGAGCAAAGGAAGCTTCATGCACTCCCCTGCTCCTAGGCTTCCCGTGTTCCCCCGCCCCTAGGCTCTGATTGGTCTGGGGGTGGGGGAGTGTGCCAAGCCTCTTCCAGGGCATGGGAGCCTAATGGGAAGGGAGGGCAAAGGGGCTCCCTCACTCCCAGACTAATCATGGTCTGGAGGTGGGTAGTCCCGCCCCTTCCTGTTTAGGCCATGTCCCTTCCGGGGTGGCTTGGGGCTACTTCAAAAATTTTTGAAGTGGCCCCCGGGCAAAAATTGTTGCCCACCCCTGCTCTTATGGCTCTAATTCAAGAAAGCACTTAAGCACAAGGCCGACTTTAAGTCCATGCTTAGCATCATTCAATAGTTGGGGGTGCTTCCCAGAATTAGGGTTTATAAGACTCCCTAGGAATGACATGGTGCAAATCCGAGTGCTGGCGATATTGCTTAGCATTATGGGCACGTTTCATAACAAAACCCCAAAGCTGGCTAGTGTCGGGGCTGAACACAGACACACCCCCAGTGGGGCATTTTGGAACCCGGGCGAATGTTTTTGTCCAAACTCCTAGCTAAATCGTGGTTGCTCCAGGGAGTCATGGTGGGGTATCTGGGTCAGACTAGTCCCCATCCTTTCACTTGTTTGGAGTTTTCCCTTGGCGGTGCCAAGTGGAAATGAATCTGAACCTTCACCCGGAATCCCATGGACTGAAATTGGGAGGTTCTGAATAGCTCGCATATTGGTACCAAGATGGGCCGGGCATTCGATTCAGTGTTAGCGATGAGCATCTGTGCTCTTTTTGTCTTTTTGCCAAACATCGCGTGCCGGTAGTGCAGGAAATCTGACCGCCCTTCAAAGTATTCCGTCATCTCTTTGGCATTTTCAACCCGTTTTTGAAGGCCGTCTACTCGTGTCTCGCTGTAAAACTCCATGGTGCGCTCTGTCTCCGGCTCCATCGTTTTGTAGGTGTGGGCTAGGAGAGTCAGAGATACTGTATGAACCTCAAAAGGTGACGATGACAGCACTGGTTGATACACTTGCCAAATATTACTTGGCACGAGCGGGCAGCATGCCGTGGGACGGGACTTTGTGACTGCCCCACCAGCCATCACAGAACCTGAATGACCCATGCAGGAGAGTAAGAGAATGTGGAACATCCTGTACTCCCATGCACTGGAATGCTGTGACTAACGGCACTGAAGGACAGCAGCATCCGCCCGGCCACCCCATCCTGCACACCTCTGGGCTGGGAGTAGGCGGAGCCTTGATTTCCCCCCGGAGATCACCATGTGGATAGCTACCTAGGTTGGAGATATATGCTGCACTAGGTCCGTGGCTGATACTGGGTATATCTGCCCGGAGCCGGGGAAAAGCAGGAAACAAATAGTGAGTTTAAGACTTGTCAAACAGGAAAGTTTTACCAGTTACGCCAGTATAATTATACTGGTCCAATTAAACCAGTCGTTATATGGCTGTTTTCAGGTTAGCTTAACCCCCTTCTAAAGCAATAAAGAGTAAATTGAAAAGAAGCTACTGGAGTTTATCTATTTATCCCCACACACCAGCTCTATCTATCTATCTATCTATCTATCTATCTATCTATCTATCTATCTATCTATCTATCTATCTATCTATCTATCTATCTATCTATCTATCCTGGGAGGCGGGGGGAGTTAACAAGGCTGCAGGGGGATGCTCCGCACCCATCAGTTTTTCCCTAGGAGTTGGTGCCTATGCTGCCTGTTATAAAGGGGGCCTCTCCAGACTCAGAATACCCCGGGATCGGGAAGGTGCCGCTTTGGCTTCCCCTCCCCTGGGCTGCAGGTTGTGAATGTCCCCCCCTCCGTTTCTTGTGCTGTAGCTAGTGCTTAGAGAGGCCCTAGACCAGGGCTACTCAACTTTGGAAGCCCTGGGGGCCACAACAATACTCACAGCACATGCCGGGGGCGGCAACGTAAGTATGGTTGTGTGTACATGCAAATGTATATGCAAATGTACATGCAAATGTACATGCAAATGTATATGCAAATAGCTTCGTTCACACTGATGGGCATGAATGCAAAATTAAGGCAAGACTACACAACACACAGGCCCCGGTTAAGTCAGTTCTAGGGTTGCCAGGTGTCCAGTATTGTGGCTTCTGTCTGGTAAAACCCCCAGAAAATACCGGTAGTTTCTGTTTCTCTCAGATGGGGTTAAATCAGTTCTAGGGTTGCCAGGTGTCCAGTATTGTGGCTTCTGTCTGGTAAAAACCCCAGAAAATACCGGTAGTTTCTGTTTCTCTCAGATGGAAGGCCACTTGGGACATTCTTTCCCTGCCACGTCTGCTGGGGAGTGTGGGGATTTAAAGGGGCCGTGACTCTTTTTTTTTTTGCCCAACCAATTTTTTCCCCGCCATGTTTGGTATTTTTTATGAAAGTATCTGGCCACCCTGGGAATCAGTTCTGCTGATTTTAATAAAATGCAATATTTTACCCAATTTCCACCCATATGACAGTACTTGTAATGTGCAATGACAGTCCAGGAATTTAACTACTAAAACACATATCGTCAGAAGACCGATATATTGACTACTTTTCTGTCAGAAGACCGTTATATTGACTACTTTTTTGTTCCGGCTTCACAACAGCCTAGGAATTTAACTACTAAAATACTTATCAACCCAAACTGTCCCGCGGGCTGCAAACAAATGGCCACGGGCCACATGTGAGCCATGGGCTGCGTGTTGAGTAGCCCTGCTCTAGAATGAAGCTTGGAAGAGCCTTTCTTTCTTGAGGATTTTGCTGAGCCGGTGACTGTGTCCAGCTGTTTATAGTCCCATCCTGGGGCATCCCCCACCAAACCTAGGCGGAACTGTCCCAGAGTGCAGCGCCCCCTGGAGGAGGAGGGGGCAGTTTGTGTACCTTTGAGTCCCTGGACATGTCCCGGACTGAAGTACTCTGTCGTCACCTCGGTTTTTTTATTCAGTTGTCTCATGTTCATCATGTCCTCTCGGTTTTTGAACCACTCCTTGAGTCCCATCCTGGGGCATCCCCCACCAAACCTAGGCGGAACTGTCCCAGAGTGCAGCGCCCCCTGGAGGAGGAGGGGGCAGTTTGTGTACCTTTGAGTCCCTGGACATGTCCCGGACTGAAGTACTCTGTCGTCACCTCGGTTTTTTTATTCAGTTGTCTCATGTTCATCATGTCCTCTCGGTTTTTGAACCACTCCTTGACCTCCAGCACCCGGGTACCTGGCAGGAGAAAAACCTCATGGCACGAGCCGAAATCCAACACATCAGATATTCCCTGGCAACAGAACTCAGGAGGGAGGGGAGAAAAAGATCACAGAACTGGCATCAAAGGAGAATGCTGGGGAAAGGAGGCTGGGGGTGCAAGCCAGGATCTCCACCCTGTGTCCTGGACCAGCTGCTTCAGGATATGGCTTAGAGATAAAGAAACGCTATTAGTTAAGCATAACATACCGTCCCCTTTGCTCTCATAGGGATTTCCCTGCGTGACTCCCATTCACATCAGTGGAAGTAGGCGCATCCTTTACAGTAGCTCTCTTAGCATGATACCTCTGTTTCTCTGCAGGAGCAAAATACAGGCAACTCCTGCCCACAGCTGAGGACTTGATCCTGAGAGGCACTGAGTGCTCTCGGCTGATCCTGCAGCGCACGTCAGCCGGTGCTTGGTGTCAAATGGGGCAGTGGAAAGGATCACCAAGTGCTTTCAGTCGAGCACATGTTATCTACGTGGTTGTGTAACCCAGTGTTTCTCAACCTTTTTTGTTATAAAATACCCCTTTAAAAAAAATTAGAAGTACCCCCAGTACATACAGTTTTCAGACACACAATTGTTTTCTACCATTGCAACACATTTGTTTAAACAGCTTCATCATAGTTGGGCGGGCGATGAAATGCTGGGGTGCAAAAAGCACAAAAAATAATAAAGCGCTGTAAAACTTAACACAAAAATTCAGTTTTCGCCAAATTTCAGTTGTGTTGACATACCCCACCCCTGACTTCTCTTGAGTACCCCATGGGTACTCGTACCACTGGGTGAGAAACACTGGTGTAACCCACACACCGAGGCTACATCTACACTGCAGGCTTCTTGTGCAAGAAAGCGTCCACGCTGCCATGGATGCTCTTGCGCAAGAAAGCTCTGATGGCCATTCACAGAATGGCCATCAGAACACCGGTGCTTTTTCCAATGTCTGTCCACACACACCTTTTTGGGCAAGAGCTCTTGCACCAAAAGGCTTTTTCCTCGTAGAAAGAGGAATAATTCTTGCGCAAAAAGCCCTGTCTTCTGATGATCTACTGTACTTTTTCTTGTGCAAAAATGATCTCGTAGTGTGGACACTCTGCAAGTTTTGGTGCAAAAACTCTGCAGTGTAGCTGTAGCCCTAGTGTGGTTCACTGTCCCATGCAGTGGCACCTAGACCACAGCAATCTCTTAGACTAAGAGACCTCTACAGCATGGGCTGGGAGCCAGTTGGCTTTTAGCCCAGATGGTAGAGGCTCCTGTACTAAGCTTCAGAGGTCCCAGGTTCAAATCTGGCTGCTGGCAGTTACAGTTGGATCAGACCAGACGGATGGATGTGAGTAATTGCCTCACTTCTCAGGAACCTTACAGGCCACGTGTGAACTGCCCCACCACCTGACCAGCAGTTGCCTGGCTTGGGATGCAGGGTGCTTATGTCTGAGAACAGAATCAGCATCCCTTGCTGGGAGGTTTTAGGGCTGGCAGGGGAGCAAACACGGCACTGTGAAGAAGGGCTTGGGGGACTAGAAGAGGAGAAAGAAAAGTACGAAAGCGCGGGGGGCATAGGAGAAACAAATGCAAACCCAGTTGCCCTGACACTCCCCCATCCCATTTTTCCTCCCATCAATCATTCATCTCCTTTACATTCTGGGTCCTCATAGACGGTGAGGCGTTGGACCAGCCCGTTGCTGTTCAGGTAGGGCGCCCACTTCTCCAGCATGGCGTTCTTGTACTGGATCACCTTCTTCCCCTGGGGACACCGGGTCTCAAATTCTGCAGATGGCAAGGGGAGGAGTTTAGCTCCAAGAGTTATCCAGGAGCAGAGCTGATAAAAGGAAGGCGCAGCAGCATGGGAGAAATCAAGGCCCCAAGAGGCTCCTTTTCCACATTCAGCTGCCAGCGGCTCTCACAACACCCTGGCTGTGCAGCAGGAACGTTGTTACTCTCCACGGTGGCGGGATAGCGGGGGTCTATCTGGTGCATGCGTAGCCCCCTCTGCTGATGTCAGTGAAAGCTGGGAGCACACAGGACTGAGCCTGACCCAGTTCTCCCTGGGAGCTGGATCGAGTCTTTAATGTGGATTGGCATTGCCCTTTAACCTCAGTGCCTCTTCTGCGAGTGAGGAGCAGTGAAATTAGAGGGGGGTGCAGCTGCGGGATGGGGAGCCTTTCACTTCTTCATGACTCGCTAGACTACAAGCAGGACATTCTGAATTCCCCACTTACAAATCATTTCACTAGGGGCTGCTCTTGAATCAAGTCCTTACCAAATAGAAGAGATCTTCCGCTTCTAGTCTCTCCGCTCCAAGGAGCACAAAACGCGCTAAGGAATTAAGCCTCCCAACACCCATGAAGCAGGCTGTTAGCCCTGTTTTACAGATAGGGAAACTGAGGCGCAGAATCGTTAAGGAACTTGCTGCAGTCACACAGCGAGTCAGGGGTATAACTAGGAAGAGAGCAGAGATCTCCTGGTTCCCACACTTCGGCTTTAACCACTAGACACCTAATAAGGATTAAACAACACGTTGTCCTGCTATAGCACATACAAGGTAGCTAGCGGCTGTCCCCAGCGTTGCTCGGTCGGGTTGGGATGTGTGTGTGGAGGTTCAAGATGGGAGGCTCAGGGCAGGGAACTCGGAGTTGTGGGGCTCAAGGCAGTGGGGGGGGGACTCGGGAGCCCCAAGTCTGGCTGGGCTGCGCTGCCCCCGGCTCCTCCAGTGTGGGGCCAGGCTGGCTAGGGACAGCAGTGGTTGGCCCTGGCTGGGGGCGCCTCCCTAGGAGACCGGGGCTGCACAGACGATGGTTCCTCCTGAGGGGAGCTGAGGTTGGGGCTGCACTATTTGGCTCTGGCCGGTGGCTGCTGCTTAGGCCAACCAGGGCTGTGCTGCCCTGCCGACGGCTGCCTTGGGTGGGGAGGGGCACAGCAGCAAGGGCGGTGCTGGCCAGCCCTAGCTGGAGGTTGCTGGGTGGCAGGGATCTCTCTCTCCTGGGTCTGGTACATGGTTCCTCCTGAGGGGAGCTGAGGTTGGGGCTGCACTATTTGGCTCTGGCCGGTGGCTGCTGCTTAGGCCAACCAGGGCTGTGCTGCCCTGCCGACGGCTGCCTTGGGTGGGGAGGGGCACAGCAGCAAGGGCGGTGCTGGCCAGCCCTAGCTGGAGGTTGCTGGGTGGCAGGGATCTCTCTCTCCTGGGTCTGGTACTGGGGTCCGGGGGAGGGGTTTGGCCTGAGGCTTTGGGAAAAGGGGCCACTTACCTGGGCCAGTGACCTGCAACATGCAGAGCCTGGTCACAGCATCCCACTCTCTTACTGGAGTGGCCGCCCCTCTGTGGTCACTCTGCAGTGTAATTATCCCCCCCATGTTGCTGCCCCCCTGTGGTCATTGCGGAGTATAACCGTCCCTCCTACTGGACCCCTCTCTTTCCATGTTATGGAAAACAATCAGATTCCAAGCACGTCCCATTATCCTGGTACAAGCAAACCCTGACCTTGCTTGAAGTCAGAGGAAGGTGTGATAAGAGGAAGCCACATACCAAATTTGGTGGCCTTAGCTCTTAGCGTTCAGGAGGAGTTCTGGAACAAACGGACTCACAGATGGACAGACAGACAGATGTATCAACTGCAGTGTAACACTGGTAATGCCAGGAAGGATATCTGGCAAAATTCACCCAGGTATCAAGCAAAGGAAGAAAACAAAACCTATGTCCATCCTGGGGGGCGGCGATGCCCAATTTAGAATGAGACAGTAGGTTTTGGGAGAATCCATGGGCACAAAACACAGGGATGTAATTAAATAATAAGGGATATCCCAAGTAGTGCGCAGCCGGATGTATTCCTATATCATTGCTTGACGTTGTCCCGCGTGTTACAATACAAAGGTTCACTGAAATACACAGAATCATATCTATTGCCGTCGGAAGACCATGTCGCACGGTGAAGGAAGCACACATACCTTTCCGCGATATTTGAACGGGGTCCACCCAGGACGCCGGCATGTCAAAACCCTTCTCTTCCTCCTCCTTGTCCTAGCAAGACAGAGCGGGGGGTTTCTATTAGCTGAGCAATGCCCTGACCAGAGCTGCCGGCACTGCCTTGCCAAGGGAGGAAGCACATTTGTCTCTGGAAATGATTGTTATATTAGACTGTGGCGCACACCTTCACACATGTGGCTGTACACACGCCCCAGGGTGCATTGTACGTGCCGCAAATAACAAAGTACGGTTAATTCAACACGCCACATGCAGCCCACAGCCCGTTTGATTGCGGCCCGCAGTGCGGTTTGAGTTTACGCGGGGCTCAACACACGGCCCGCAGGTGGGATCCTTTGAATATGGCCTCCGCTGGGAACATGGTCCACAACGGCGAGTCAATGGAATGGTCTTCTGTTGAGATACGTTTAAATAGTTAAATTCCTGGACCGTCATTACTCATTAAAAGGGCTGATATATGGGTGGGTATCAGGTAAATATTGCATGTAATTAATATCAGCAGAACTGACTTAAATGGGGCCTGCGTGTTGTGTAGTCTTGCCTTAATCTTTGTCGTCATGCCCGTCAGTGTGAAAGAAGCTATTTGCATATATTTGCATAGACATTTGCATGTCAATGCAGCCATACTTAAGTTGCAGCCCTCGGCATGTGTTGTGAGTATCATTGTGACCCTCGGGGCTTCCAAATTTGAGTAGCTTTGCTTTATGCCATCAGTGTGCCAAGAGACACATGGGACATTTACGCAGGGGAATATTTGCACCCCACACTAAAAACCACACAGGTTGTCTGCGCGGATGGGACATTCCTGACCCTGTCATTTTGCAGAGTGGATGCTATTTTCAAATTGCTCTTGGATTTTCCATCAAACAGAACATGGCTACGTTCACGCCATCCCGGCATTCGCCACTAGCAGAGCTTAGCCAGTGACGTATTTTCTTTCGGGTGAAGGTCATGCTGGATGCGAGACGCTCAGGGCTGATTGAAGATGGCACTGCTCATTAGAACCAATGCCTGGCTCGTTTATTTCATGCAGTCTGAGAAAGGCACTCACAGACACGTACCCTGGAGACGGGCATTGTCTGAACAGGTTAGATCAAGGGAGAGAATGCTCTGGTGTCACGTCTATGCTCTCACATTATTTTCTCTTGTGACTATCATCTTATTTCCAAACTCCACTGCCACACTCCTTCTGCCCCAGGGAGAGGAGAAGCAGGTAGAACAGGGCTGGGTGAGATGCGGCCCTGAGGCCGGATCCGGCCCACCTAACACTTTGATCTGGCCCCTGGACTGCATCTGGCCACTTTCTATTTATATCCTGCTGCCTCTGCCCCTGAATTTCCAGGTGGTGGCTCAGGCAGCAGGATCCAGGCTTGCGGCTCACCGCTGTAGCGCTAAGCCAGCAGGGGCCAGAGTCGTGATGCCTTTAAATAGCCGCAGCAACCCCGGGCAGCTGCCAGGCACTGCAGTAGCAGTGGGGCTGGGAGCCGCGAGCCTTTGGCTGTGGTTTTAATTCAAAGCCTCTGGCCCCCGGCCACTCTGTGCTGGGGGTGGAGCTGGCCCATGGCCATGTACCAAAATTCATTAAGTGGCCCCCTCTGCAAAAATTATTGCCCACCCCGAGGTAGAAGGTGTTCTGAAAAACTGCAGAATTGAACTTGATTTTTAAAAAGCAGTTTCATCCAGGGCAGACTAGAGCAGTGTGTCTCAGCCAGTGGTACAAGTACCCTCAGGGGTACTCGAGAGACGTCCGGGGGGTACATCAAGACAACTGAAATGTGGAGAAAACTGAATTTTTGTGTTAAGTTTTACAGCGCTTTCTTATTTTTGTACTTTTTACACCCAGAAATGTCATCGCCCGCCTAACTACAATTAAGTTGTTTAAACAAATGTGTTGCAATGGTAGAAAAAAATTGTGTGTGTCTGAAAGCTGTAGGTACTGGGGGTACTTCTAATTTTTTTTTGAAAAAGGGGGTACTTTTTTTTTTTTTAAAGGGATATTTTATAAAAAAACGTTGAGAAACACTGGACTAGAGGACTTCAGGGCACAGACACTGAGGCAGGTCAGATTCTACCCAGCAGAGGGCAGAGGCGTGCACATATACGCCCTGTTCCTACAACAGGAGGCCTTGTGGAATGACAGGGAACTTACAAAGTCATCCAGGTCCTCATCAGCTAACTCCTCTTCATACTCCTCCGGCAGCAACAGGAGGGGCTTGTCGGTCCCCTCCAGCATGAACTCCCACCGCACGGGGTCCCCAAGGTCGAAGGCCAGCCCCTGAGAGGACACAACAACCAGAGCTGGCCATAAATTTGCTTTCAGCATAAGATGCTCACCCCGAGAGACACAACCTGCCACAGCGCGCTCAGCTGTATGATTCCGGCTCAGCAGCAGAGGCTCAGGGCCGGACAGTACGACGTGGAGTCCCAGGGATCAGTGGAGGATTAGCTATCCCTAGTGTGGGAGGGTGCTCAGATTCTTCCCAGCCGACTGCTGCGTTGGAAGCTTGCTAGGAGCCCAAGGGTGGCGCCTCTGCAGTAAAGGCCCTGGACAGCAGTTCAGCACCGCGCTTGGAGCAGCTTGGGACTGAATAGAAGCAACAGGCAGCCCACCTCCTATTACATTTAAACTGCAGAACCGCAGCGGGGATAGGCCCGGGACCCGGCGTGAGCTGGGACTCAGCCAGGCAGCTCTTACTACATTTAAAAGGTGGCAGCACAGCGCAGGTGGCTCCCGGAGCCGGCGTGAGCCAGGAATGAGCCATCCTGGCTTGCACCAGCTCCAGGACTGCTGCTGCTCTGCCTCCCCTGCGCCCCCTCCTGTGCATTGCGGAGATGGTGTTGGGGGAAACCAGCTTTTACAGAGGCAACCGGGGGCGGGTGGGGAACCGAATAAGCTTATTGGGTGGTCAACTACTTGAATAATTGCTTACCCTAAACTATGGCAAGTGTAAGAGGCCTCAGACCCTAACAAATGAATTCATTTCTACAGAAAGGGCGTTGAATACACAAACATTGAAGCTTTGTATTCTCCCAGGATAACAAGAGACGCTGTGCTATTTTAACACCGTGAATAAGGAGAATCGTCCTTCTTTTTATATGAAGAAAAACATTCAATTCATTTTGTTAGAGAAATACAAAACGTATCCAGGCTGTACATGAAATATATTTACAAATGTGTTTATGCTGAGTTAGTTTGCTTGCTGGATCCTATTTACCCCAGTGGGGACGGGAGCCGTGAGTCCTTTAAATAGCCACAGCATCCCCGGGTGGCTGCCGGGCAACACAGGACCTACGAGGCTGGGAGCTGTGAGCCCTTTGTTGCGTTTTTAATTCTACGCCTCCGCCCCCAGACAACTCTGTTGGGATTGGTCCTGCCCTGGGCAGGGGGCTGGACTTGATGACCTTTCTGAGGTCTCGTCCAGCTCTATGATTCTAACCCCGCCCCTTCCACCCCAGACCCCGCCCCTTTAAGGGGTGGAGTCGGCCCGTGACCACGTACCAAAATTCATTAAAATGCCTGCCCCCTGTGAAATTGATTGCTGTTGTTTCATTAGTGAATGCCTTATTCTGGCACTAGACAGGGCACCCAGCCAGCTTTGTCGGCTGGTCATATTCCCCAGGGGTGGCTTTGTAGGGATGTCCCACTGGCTACCATCAAAGAGCATCGGTGAATCAGGCCCAGGCCGACCCCCGGGCTCAGACGGCGGCCTGGGGTTCAGTGGCTAAGAGTGAAGGGACAGAATGGCAAGGGAAGGGGAGGCTGCCGTGGTTCCCCTGCAGGGCAGGCACCGTTCAGACGGGGGAGTTACCTTGCAGCCGTCCCAGCAGTCCTGCATGTTGATCCAGTAGTTCTTGTGGTTCCAGACGCTTTCGATGCCGAGGAAATGCTCGTCGGTGGTGCTGTAGCTGTTTGCTGTGAAGGGATCAATGAAGAAGCTCTCCGGCACCTCCCGCTTCCCCGCCAAAACCAGAACCCAGGCGTGGACGCGTAGCCCGTACAAAGGGTCCGGCTTTGGCTTTTCCGCTTCCTGCAGCACAGAGTAATTTCCAGATGTTATCATTCAACACAGCCGTTATACTTGGTCCTCCTCTGGCACCGCCCT